AAAAAAAAACAAAAAAAAAAAACAGTGGAAAAAATATCCTCTCCTTGGGTCAGGATTAAAAAAAAACCAAAAAACAGAAATTGACTTCTCAGTATTTATTTGAAGGAAATAAAATCACTAACTCACAAAAGTATCTGTACCCTCATGTTCATGGCAATATTATTTACAATAACCAAGACATGGAAACAACCTAAATGACCACTGATGGATGAATAAAGAAAGTGTATAATATCCTACAGTGTGTATGTGTATGTATGTGTATACACACAGACACACACATACACAATGGAATATTATTCAGCCATAAAAAAGGAAATTCTGCTATTTGCAGCAATATGGATGGACCTTGAGAGCATTATGCTAAGTGAAGTCAGTCAGAGAAAATAATGTGATCTCACCTATATGGAGAATCTCAAAATCTGAACTTACAGCATGAGAACAAATTGGTTGCCAGAGGGATGGAGTGAGGTTGGAAAAATAGGTGAAGGTGGTCACAAGGTACTAAATTCAAGTTATAAAATGAATAAGTCCTGGGAATATAAGGTACAGCCTGGTGACTATAGTTAACAATACTGTATTGTATATTTGAAAGTTGCTAAGAGAATAAATCGTAAGAGCTCTCATCACAAGAAAAATATTTCTGACTATGTGTGGTGATGAATGTTAACTAAACTTGTTTTGATAATCATTTCACAATGTAAACATATCAAATCATTATGCTCTACACCCAAAAGTAATAGTGTTATATGGTTATATGTCAATATACCTATGAACAAACAAATAAGCAAATGTAGGTCCAACCAAGCTGTTTCTGTTGCTTAGAACACTCCCTCCTACTCCCACCTTAAAGTAAATCTGACAGTAGATAATTCATTACTAACTTTGAGCTTATTAAGGCAGGAACCAATATGTAAGGAATAATCTGGTTAGGAAAATGAGACAAGTCCATTTTTAAAATCAAATCTCTTTTCTGTTTTCATCTGCCTATCCCTCTGCCTCTCAGGTTTAAGAAATCTGAAGATTCATAGAATTCTGTGTGTATAGAAAGTTCTAAAACCAACAGAGATTTCATTGGTTAAAATCAATTTACTGAGGCCTGTAAATTCACTGTGTGGTGAAGGAGGCCACACAGAAGAAAACTGAAAAGGCCAGAAGTGGTTGCTGATGTTACTGTGCCTCCCGCGCGCCTCCGCTGAGGCCTTACGTAGCTGTGGTAGCCAGGGGTGTGCACTGTGAAGATTTCCCTTCCAGAAACTTGCCCTTCCGCTGTGAGGAGGACAGTTTCCTGAAAACAGCCAACTGCAGTGCCTTTGGGATCTGCCACAGCATTTACACCGGGGTCACACACTCCCCAGGCAGCCCCTGCCGATAGCCAGGCACAGCGGAGTTCCTAAGGTCTGGCCATTTCTGCCCACATGGGACCCCTGTAGGGCAATTTTTGTGCTGGACACTTGCCGGGAGCCGCACTGCTCTCCGAGGCCCCTTCTATCCAACCCTCCTTCCTTCATCTTTTCCTGTGACAGGTGTCAGACCCATAGTGTGGTCTGAAGGCTTTCTCTTCCCTGGGTGTTGCCTCCAGTAACTCTCTCGTCCTTCTGACTCCATCCTGGCATCTGGTTCCCGGAGAACCCACCCAAGACCAAATTTTGTTACCTTATTCCTCCAAAAATAAAGATACCATCTTTATAATTAGATTTATAAAGATTAAATAATATCTACATGCAGTTATGTGACTATAGGAAGCAGTCAAAGGTAAAATGGAGCAGGTGGATGAAGAGTGGGGTAAAAAAAAAAACCCTGTCATTACCTTTGTAACAATTTTAAGTGTCCAATCTTATGTCTTGCTTTTTAGCACATTTTTCTAGGCAGTGGAGAGAGAAAGTAGGGTGAGACTCTAAACGCTAGAAGGACATATGAGGGGAATAAATGCTCAGTGGGGCTGGCCATAGAACTACTGTGGATGGGGTCACACTTGATTCCCTTTCCAGTGTAGTTGGATCACCCCAGAGGATTTTTCCTACAAGAGGAAAACCATATTCATGTCCCTTTCAGAATGACATCTTCCATTGGCACCTATGAAGTACTATCGCAAACACACTGCCTCCTAGTCCAGATGGTTATTTTGGTGTTAAAGGAGAGCAGGCCCAAATGACTCAGCATCCACCTTGAATGTTTCAAAACCTGGTATCGGTATTAAGAAATGTAGAGGGCTCTCTAATGTCTCTTTCAACTAAGAGGGTCTAGACTAATATTTGCATTAAGTAGGTGCTCAACAGGTGTTATCTGATTTGATGGCAGAAAATCATTGCACAGTTGAATGGACACACTCTAAGCATTGTGCAGACAGTTGGGAGAAATTAAGAAATATACCTCCATACTAGTACCTGGGGAATACTATGATTATTGCTACAAAGACACAAAGATCTAACACAATAGAACACGAATGCAATCCTTGGAACAACAAAATAAAAAAAATAAAATAAAACTTTGTTGTTTTGTTCTGTAATGAAGTTGTTTACAGAAGAAAACAGTGAAAATAAGCCGTAGGAAAATAAAAAGAAAACCGCAAACATTATTAACCAGCAGCATTTTACTCCCCCATGTAGGTGGCTTCCCCAACCCCCCTCAAAAGAGCAGAGCGGCACACCCTGCATGTTCCCGGGCGTGTGCTTCCTGAGCCACACGTACCGTGGGCTGGCTCCGCAGCAGCTTTGATAAACCTGCACAGTCTAAGAAGTGTCAGACTGGCTCGTCTTCCGAAAGAACCACTTATTCAGTGAAGAAGAGCTGCGCAAGTAGCTCATTTCATCTTAATTAGCCCAAGATGATGCTTCTGAAGTGCTCTGCTCTCTGATCAACACTATCCTTCCTGCTGCACGGGAGGAAGACTTTGATGTCTCCCACAACACGAAAAACATCGTAGCCTTGGGAACAGGGACCAGGGACCAAGTTGGGCAGACCTAGCTTTACTGCTGCTGGTGCCGCAAACGTGGGAGCCTAGAATGAGTTTGTTTTATCGCTGAAATAAGCTATCCTGTGCAGCAGAAAGGGCTAGAAGGTGACCTTTGCATGTTTTCAGCCACTGAAATATGTTCACCTACCCTGTGCCAGGAAGATGCACAGAGCGGCAAACCCACGTACAGTGCCTCTGCTATCGTGGACTCTGCTCTACTCCATTTGAAGAAAAGGAAGAAAGCGTAGAAAATAAAAATACAAATGAAGGATTACGTTGTTGCTTTAGAAATGTATTAATTACTGGTACGAAGTCAGTCTGCCCGCCTCATTTCAATTAGTTGCTTGAGACCAATGTCAGTCAACAGGAGAACAGAAAGCTTTGGAGGCCTCTCGTTAGCAATTTGCTATGTGTTCACCTGGCACCGGCACCAAATAGAGTCCTTGGTGGCCTGGGGTGTCTGTGCAACCAGAAAATGGAAGTGCAAATGTCCCCTGCTCAATTTAGTCAGCGTCCCGTGTAACCTGCTGGCAGGGTGGCCGCCCGTCTCTGCCAGTCACTTCATTTACACATTGTTCCCACTCCTGCTCTCACAGGAAGGAATATTTCTGAAAGTGCTGCAGGCATTATGTGTGAAAAAATAGGAACGGTATAAATAGCTTTTTACTTCTAATTGCAAATTGCAGCTCACATTTGGCTTCCTGAGAGCTCTGAAAAGGGACCAACCCAAACCACTAATAGCACAGGGGCCCTGGAAGGGTGAGTCAGTGTCTACTGCTGAGAGAGAGTGAAGATGGGGAAAGAAGTGCAGGAGACCCAGAAGACCTTTGCTGGCTTGACGGAGCCCGTTTTTCCAGGGTGCAGCCCAGCCAGATGGGGGTGCTTTCCCCGAGTACCTGGTAGGTCAGCTCTTTGATGCATCGCTGCAGTCGGTGGGCTCCCCTCTGTGCCTCTGCATTGCGATGGATTTCGCCCTCCAGTTCACCTTTCGGCTCACAGACCTGCAAACAACCATGATCTCAGACCACAGGCTGGCCGGCATGGCATCGTACTTGCCAATTGGCGTGATCACTTGACAGGGAGCGAAATCATCAAGGGAAGATGTGCCTGCTCTCTTTCTGGCAGTGGTTAAACAGGGGGGCAAGCCCTCTTGGAAAACTCTCGCCAAAAGTGAGTTGGTTGAACTCTGTGAGTCCACATAAGAACCCTTTAGACCGAAGGATGTGAAAGGCTAATCCATGCAGTGCCAATACCTTTCCCTCAGATGACAAAATCACACACGCACACACTCATGAACGTATGTAAGCATATAGAGAAAAAAAACCACACAGCACACTGAGGATTCAGCCAGTACACTACCTAATCTTAAGCTGCTCCCTCCATACTCAGCTCTGATTCTCTAAAACTCAGTCCCCAAGTCTATGTCACATGTGTGTCACACACAGCCCCACAGCGCTGCTTTGTGGGAGAGCTATGGTACAGACTAACATTCTGCCTGTGGCCTTATAGAGTTATACAAACAAGGCTAACATGACATTTAGTCAAGGAATATTTGATGCCTACTACATACCAAAGCCCAGGGCTAAGGAGACAGCAGTAAAAAAAAAAAGATCTCCCCACTATAAACGTACATTCTAATGGGGGGGGGGACACACAAACAGAGCAAAGTAAAATATAGAATATATTAGATGGTGATAAGTGATTTGGAGAAAAATAAACCAGGAAAGGGGTAGGGAGCTGATGGGGGAAGGGTGTTGCCCGCTGCTTCTCCTCCCCCACATGTCCAAGGCCTTCTCCCTGGCGCCTTCTTGAAGCACATGCCACCTTCTCAGAGAGACCTTCCTGATCACCCTTGGACACTGCAAAGCCTGATGCCCTGAGGCTAAATGCGCCTGGACTATCAGACCTCATCTCTGATTCCCCTCACCTCCTGCCTCCATGTTAGCCCACTGTCCTTGCTCTTCCTCAGGGAGGCATGCTGGGGGTGGGGCAGTCAGCAGGTGTGCAGGTTTCTTGTGAATGAAGCCTATTGAAAAGAAAAATCTCCTGGACCCTTGCCCTATAGGAACATAACACATCGTTCTATCAGTTGGAACATGAGACTAACAGAGCCCATCCTTTACTTTGTTAACCTTTTGCTGTATTTCTTAAGTAAAACAGCTCAGGGGAAAGTTGCTATATTAAAGCAAATCCTAGACATATAATTTTATGTATAAATATTTCTTTATGTAATTCTAATAGGTAATGGTATTGTGATTATGTATTTAGGAAAATTAACCAAAATTCTTTAGTGTCATCTGATATTGAGGATCTCACTGCTGCTGAGTTATCATTGGTTCTAGGCCTTAACAGTGGACAAACAACAATTGGAAATAAAATTAAATCTTGTTATCTTAAATTTGACTTGGAAATACTAGTATCATTTATGTATTTTTAGGGAAAAAAGACATAACTTCTTTGCTTTTATGCTTACATGCTTCTTTTTTATCCTAAAAATCTTGGTTCTTATATATGTTGTTGGATAAATAATTGTATTAGTGTTATTGCTAGTAGCAATAATAAGATATTGTAATATTGAAACTACAAGTGCAGTTTGCATCATTTGCTGTTCTGTTTTGTCCTTAGATCTATTTCATGAGAGATGTTCAAACAAAACACTGTTTAAAAGTCACTGGGAATAATTGTTCTTTGTGTGTTCTATGCCTCCCAGCTTGATATACAGTTAGCTTCGTTTGCTTCCATTTGTGTTAAAACATTAAGGATTGCTTTGTTTTACTTTCCTCTTTGATTTAAACTTTCTTATTTATGAAGCATGTAAATGTTGTATGTGATTTTGTGATCAAGACAACAAGGTGCATTCAGAGGGTCTAACTTTCATCTCTGTATTCCCCCTCCTGAATAGCTGTTTTTATTAGTCTTTGTTTTATCCTGTCACTATTTCTTTTTTAAATTATAGGCATATGTGTACATAACTTCATATTTCCCCCCTTTCTTGCACAAAAGATTATACACTCTCCACATTGCCTGTGCCTTTTATCATTACACTGCGAGGCATGGTCTCCAGAACACATTATAGAGCTCTCCTCATTCCTTTTAAATAGCATGACTGTATGGATGGGGTGCCATCGTGAACATTGGTATTCCACTATATGGATATACCATAAATGAGCAAAGGCAATACTGTACTTTGCAGAGGCCCTTCTGAGCCATCAAATCCCAGTCAAATATTCTTTCCATCCTGTAGCATGTGTCACATGGCCTGTACCTAGTCACTGAAATTGATTCAATAATTTTAAAAATCCTATTTTCAAGATAGGTCTTTCTATTTGTTTTTAAGCTCCCTGAAGGCAGGTACTACATCATTTCTGTCAGCCCTTACTATATCTTCACTCTGTCTTTCTTGATACTTGATTTAGTCGTTTCCCTTCTCCTTTCTCTGGCCGTTAGGAAATGGGCAGAGAAATAACAGGAGCAAAGTCACAGAAGCAAGACTGTGAGGGTGTGTGTGGAACAGGAGGGCACCTGGCTGTGGAGAGCCCAGAGCTGGTGTGGGTGGATGGAAGGAGATGCGTCTCACGTAGCAGGAAGGGCGCAGACAGACTAATCCAGTCCAAGGGAAGTGGCCCCAAGTCACACAAGAAAGAATGAATACATTAAGATCTGACCCTCTTGGAGATCTGAAAGCATCATTAGCAAAAGTGATGAGGAAGGTAGGGACTATCTGGTATGATTCCAGGACAATATGGCCTTGAATAGGGAGTTGTGAAGACCCCATGGTCCCCCAGGGCCAGCTCCTACCCTGGATTCTGGCTTCTGGATTTGCTTCCCCCTTCCCACCAGGGCCATCTGTTCAGCTTCATCCAGCCCTTTCCTGTCTTTAACTGTTTGCTGCATATTACCTCCCACCCTCTCCAAGTGCGCACTGGCACGTTGCTCCTCCTCCAGCTCCTCTGACATGCGCGCTGCCTAGAAAAGCAGGAAAGAGACTGAGATCATGCAACGGCTGGTCGCTCTTAACATTTTACCCACAGTCTTCAGTTCTTGACCTAGCTAGATGCCATGCCCTGCCTCTGTGCGTGGAATCTCTTCCCACCGGGCTCTCCCTAAAAGCCTGTGGCCCTCAGGTTTCTGAAGACTAGGCCATCAAGACAGCAGCAGCTACTGCAGAGCTCAGGGTGAGGGGTGCTGGAAACAGACCAAAGATGAAGTTCCACACGAACACTCCCACGCAACACCTGTACTGAAAGCAAGATGGCCGGCCAAAGCAACAACTTTTTAAAATTGTTTTTCATTGATTTCAGAGGGAGAGGAAGGAAGAGGGAGAGAAAGAGAAAACAACACTGATGTGAGAGAGAAACGTCAACTGGCTGCCTCCCATACACGCTCCAACAGGGGATCCAGCCCACAACCAGGGTATGTGCCCTGACCTGGAGTCAAACCCATGACCTTTAGAGGTGCAGGATGACCAACTGAGCCACACCAGCCAGGACGAAGTAACAACTCTTAATTGAACAGAGCACCGGGCCACGTCCTGTAACCTCATGCACCAGGAAAAGTGTGGAGGAGATGCCTGTGAGAATCTTTTCCACATCTCACTTCTATGATTCTGTGATTCACAACTGCAAACAAGTTTAGGCTCCAGGAATTTGGCAGCAACAGATGTTCTGAGTGCCAATAATCTGGCACACGGCAGGTTAATTCTTGCTTGTGAAGCCTGCTCTTGGCTTTGGTTGTGTATAAAGGGCTTAGTGTCTTGACGCAATTATTAAGAACTGTTTCCTGAACCTCTCAGTGCATTTAATGTAAGAACACTACCCTCCCAGTCAAAGCTTCTCTGTCTATCAGGTTACCAACCATCTGTATAATTTAAGTGTGAGACGTCTGTGCAGATGGTGAGGGCAAAGAATAAATTACAGGCAGCTCTGAGCTCTGCTATGTGAGGTTGGGACTCAGAGCTAAACTACTGGAGAATTTAAGGGTAGGGGGGAGGTAGTGAGTTCATTTTTCAACTTAGTCAAGAAAATCTTTAAAAGGCAAGTTTAAGCAGATAGAGCCTTCATAATGTATGACTCCATAAATTTACCAGACCTAGAAGCTGTTTTTATTCCTTTCTATCTATGTGGATTTGCATAAATGTTAAGCACATTATTTTTCCCTTGGCCAAACGTTTTCAGGCTTTCACACCCCTCTTCGCCATCAGAGAGCAGAAGTGCCTGCCTTGATACAAAGTGGCTGAGTGATGGGCCTGTTTCTCCATCCTTCTGGATCCTACAGTAACCTGGTAGCTAGGATGTGGTGCAAAAGTTTTATTTAGCTGCCCAAACGCTAAATAACTCAGGCAAATACAGACACAAGCTCTTCCCCTCGTTTGAATTTCAAAATGACAAATATGAAATCAAAGTGAATATCTTGTCTCCCCAATTCCCATATCCTTTTCAGCAAGAGGATCAACTTCCATGCATACGGCAAGGTCAGGGCTGCTGCCGATGGTTGGTTGTTTGGACTACACAAAATCGCTGATGGGGTTGGGGTGAGTGGAGGCTGCAATCCAGCCCAAGCCTATTCAGCAAGTGCTGGGGCCTGCAAGGCTGGGTGCTTTCTCCCTCTACCTCCCTCCCTCCATCTTCCTCCATGAATTTTTTGGGTATTTCCTTCTGCTTATCCTCTGAGAGAAGTGCTGCATCTGCCCACAGGGGGCGCTCAGAGGGTGGCGTTTCTCGGGTTCCCACAAAGGTATAGTCAAGGCTGACAGCCGACCCTGAGCTTAGTGTCATTTAGGAAAAGCACCACCCTCAACCATTTTAAACTTGTAAATGAAGGCACATGCCAACCCAGAAGCCCTTCTTTATCAACCGATTCTGCTGCTCAAGCAGTAGTATGGCCTGGAAGAAATAAGTGAAATAAGCATTCTTTCCAGATCATTGTCATAAAACCATTACACACTCTAGGAACAAAGCTATTCTTAAGTAAACACGGGAAGGATTGTTTCTAAACATCAGATATATTGATTCACAAGCAGAAAGTGGCTTAAGTTAAAAAAAAAAAAAAAAATCTCTTGCTTTCATAAGGTTTTGCTTCTAGGAATTCAACTGCTCCTTTTCATTGCCTTGGGATGTTGGAGGGGAGGAGCTAATTGGCCTAATTTTTCAAAATGGGGACAGGGAGCAGAGGGGTGCGGAGAATCAATGGAATCCTTTTTGGCTGCAGATTGGCCTCCACCCCTTGGCTACTGCTCCAGTCAACTCTGGCAGGCAGGAGTGACAGGCAGTCGGTGCACCCACCTCAGCGGCTGCCTTCTTGGCCTTGTCGTCTGCGTTTCAACAGCCCTGCACTGCCTCTTCTGCTTCCTTCTGCATCTTGGCAACATCAGCCTCCCGTTTCTTCTTCTGGCCCAGGAGACTTGCATTCTAAGGAAAAGCAGCCGTCTTGTTAGGCAAGTTGAGACCAGCGATGCAAACACAAGCTAGTCTGTTCGGGACAGGCAATGGGAGAGGCCTCGGGCCAAGAGAGAGTTTTATTCTAGTCAGCCACACTCACTAAAGCAGTATTTCCAACCCCAAGGGGCCAGGTTAGAAAAGCCCCTTGCCATCAAAGGCATGCTTGAATGGAAGAGATTTCAACCATTCAGTATCAAAGAGATGGCAGCCTGAATCAGAAAGGAGAAATGGATCCAGATAACCTACAAGCCCGGAAAGGCGGGTTTGGTTTTCAACTTGCTGAACAATGTTTTTCTGCCTTTTGCTCTTTGATGGGGTAGAACAAACATCCCAGAGCAGAAGTCAGGATCCACTGCAGACCTTTGGGGAGCAGGGCGTTAGGGAATAAAACTCAGTTTCCGGCATGATGCTCCAGGAAACAACAATCTTCCTCTCTACCTCCCTCCCTTTCCTATGGGGCTTTGCAGTGAGGGGGTGGGAAGAGCAGCTCAGAGGAGCCTCACCCCCAGCGCAGTACACTGGAGGATTCTTTGTTCTGTGGCTGGTGCTATCCTAATTCTTCCCTTCCTGGGGTATGACAGGAGGCTGGAGCTCCTTTTGCTGCTATTTGGTCCATGTTTGAAGCACAGATTTTCTGAGGGTGTGAAACCCTAGCATAAAGAGTGTGTATAAAAGGCATGAGCTTTCTAGTTCTTATTTCTCCTCAAAGTCCTTTCACTTTCCTCCAGCTAGTGTCTTTCTTGGTGGCAGGATTGAGCCTTAGAAACAGAAAGAAAGACACTCCTGCTCCACAGGTCCCACCCTGTTCCCTTGATGGCATGAAGCATCTTCAGGGCTGCCATCCTCTGTCCTCTATGGACAGCCAGGCTCGGGGCACCCCCAGGCTTCCCACTGCCGTGGGCGTGGCCTGGGGCGGGCACATGTGTTTTTCTGGGGTCTATTCTGGACGCTCACTGCACTCGAGTACTTGGAAATGACTTCTTTGTAAAGGAAGATACAAAATGATTTGTTTGTACCCAGAATCCGTTAAAATCTTCTAGGGAGATAAGGGTTAAAAACCTTTTTAAGCTGAGCCCTGGCCCGTGGGCTCAGTTGGTCGAGCGTCTTCCTGTACACCTGAAGGCCGCAGGGTCGATTGCTGGTCAGGGCACATACCCAGGCTGTGGATTCAATCCCGGGCGGGGCATGCGCAGGAGGAGAGGGAGGCAACCGATTGATGTTTCTCTCGTATCAATGTCTCTCTCTCTCCCCCTTCCTCTCTCTAAGATCAATGAAAAAGCATATCCTCACGTGAGGATTCAAGAGAAATTTATAAAAAATCCTTTTCAAGCTGAATGACTCTCAAACTGGTTCTTTTGGGGGGAAGTGGGGTTAGGTGGTATTGTGTGGAAAGGCAACCTAGATGGTTACAGCTCAGGTCTGAAAAGGGCACGTGTAATTAGCCAAGGATAAACTTGGCCTCAGATGTTTGTTCTAGGCTAGAGGTCTGAGGTTTCAGAAGGGCCTAAGGAGGTTCCATGGAAGTTTCATCATGTCATCAAAAGACTGATAGTGTTCTAGTCATTGCAAGGTGTCCCCACATGGTTAAGGTGGGAGAGAGGTCCTCAGGAGCAACATAATATCACCTAGATATGCTGGTCGAAAGGTAGTGCCTGGACCAGCGGTGTCACCTGAGAACTCACGTGATTCCTGGCTCCCACCACAGAGCTACTGATTCAGTAGGTCTGGGGTGAGACCTGAGAGTTGCCATTTTTGTGTTAGTTCCTCTTATACACCTAAAGTTTCAGAAACGCTGCCATAGACAACAGGTCTCTACTGCCTGATTTTCCCCCCCCCCCAAATCCATCTCCTCTCTATGTGTGGTTGATGGCCTCACCTCTCACTAGGCTAGTAGTTTGTCATCAAACGGGAACTCTCTGGTGCATTATCAGTTATAATATGCATGGCAAATGATTTGTTACCAATAGCTATTAAGTACTACAGATAATGAATGATTTTCTTTTTAAAAATTTGATATTCTATTTATAAGAATTCCTCTCATTGTATTTAGATCAGCTTTCTTGAGAGAAAAAGAGCATGTTGATATGACTTAGCCTGCTGGGAATCACGCGTAACCTGCACCCTGTTGTTCTACACCTCATGGTATCCAGTCAGGATGTGTCATGTGCATGGACACAGAAGCCAAACTGTAGGCACAATCTGATTGCAGTGCCTTCCAGCTGGTACCTCACCGGTTCATACTTCCTTTTGCCTCAGTGGGGACACAACTGGCATTCTGGCGGGGCGGAATGTGATATAGGATCATCCTGCACCTCTTGGGAATATTAGCATCTCTGCTCCTTTTCCACTAAATGTCAGTGGCCCTTCCCAGTCGCTGTGACAACCAGAATGACCCCACAGACATTTCTAAATACCCCAGAGCATGGCAATTCTTCCCCTAGCTGTTTTAATCCATCCTTCATAACAATCATGAGAGTAAACTTCCTAAAATATAAATCTAATAACTTCACTTCTGGCTATCTAAAATTCTTCAGCGGCCCCCCATTAGCTCCAAGACAAAATTCAAAATCCATCAGTCTCAGAGTCAAGGTCCCTGGTGACTGCGCTCTTACTCAGGATCATTTCTGCTGGTCTGTCCTACCCTGACCCCATGCTCTCATGAGTATATCAGTTTCCCTTAACACTCCCAATTCGCTCTTCTCCCCATGCCTCTGCCCTTAGCTCATCTACCTGGCTGACTACTTCCTTGTCCTTCCTGGCTCAGATTAAGTATGCTGTGCATCCACCTAAGCCTGGGATGGTCAGAGAAGGCTTTCTGTAGGGGTGTGCTTCCTCTATCACCATACTCACAGCTGTGCACGACAGTGTGTTTACTTAGATCTTCACACTTTTAGGAAAATAGAGACATTTTGTATCTATACCATGCATACCTGTCCAAGTTATGGGGGTGTGACCTAAAAATGTTTGTTGAATGACCCATTTACTATACACAGTTGTCCTAACCACTATGATTTTTCCTGATTCTGTGAGAATGGCAAAGGTTCTAAGAATTCTTGCTTGGTGTCACTTATATAACCTCCCATGGGAAGCCAGAATTATGAGATATCTCTGTCTCTGAAGCAGGAGGTTTTGTTTGTTTGTTTGAATACTGGAATGCTGGGGGAACGTGTGGCTTAGGGGTAGCAGAAGCAGACAAGTGGGTCTGGAGCACTAGGGACTGTTCATCTCTCTCTCCCAAGTATCCTGGCGGTGAATGCCCTGCCAGTCCATTCTTCTGGAAGAAAGCTTAGTGTTATGGGTCAAATTGTGAAACTACTCAGAAAACATGTTGGCAGTCTTAACCCCCAATACTTGAGAATGTTACCTTATTTGGAAATATAATCTTTATAGAGGTGATCAAGTTGAAATAAAGTTGTTAGGGTGTGCACTAATCCAAAATAACTGATGCTCTTATAAGAAGAGAAAATTCAGACAGACACAGATGCTCACAGAGGAAAGATGGTGTTAGGACAGGCAGGGAGAATGCCACGTGAAGGTGGAGGATTGGAGTGATGCATCTATAAACTAAGGGACACCAAAGATGTCCATCAAACCACCAGAAGCTGGGGAAAGGCAAGAAAGAAGTCACTAGGAGATTCAGAGGGTGCATGGCCCTGCCAACACCTTGTTTTCAGTCTTCTAGCCTTCAGAAATGTGAGAGAATAAACTTCTGATGTTTTAAGCCACCCAGTTTGTGGTACTTTGTTATAGCAGAACTGGGAAACTCATACACTTGAGAATAAATTGTTCTGAAGTGAAAGACTCTCCCTATGTCTCACGTGCCACTCCTAAGGCTTAACATGGCAACCGGGTATGGCTGACCCCCATGTGGAAACCAGTGCTTTCAACCAGCTGATGCAGGTAATGGAGAGAGTTTATGGGCCCCACCTGGGTACGGAAAAGATTGATTCTTTCTGTGCTTCCAGGAGCTCTTCCTCCGCCAGCCTGTGCCCACATTCTGTCTGCTCTTTCAAGGACCTCAGCTCCTCTAGTTCACACTGGAGAAGAGAGTTGCGCTGCTCAGCCATAGCCACCTGCTCCTTCAGCTATTCAGGTATTTGCTGTCATCCAGCTGCACCCCAAAGTCCTTTGAGAGAAAACATGGGTGGGGGCACAGATCCCTCTGAGTTTAATGGGATATTCACCTGTACAGGCATGTTCTAAACAAAGCTCCACAGCTTAAATTTAAGCATTTTCCTGCTTTCTTGAAGGATTTGCTTTGTTGTCTCCACTTTTATTGCTCAATACAATCTGTTGTTTGGCTTACTTCCACAAGCAGAGGCATTCCCCACCCCCATATCATAATTTGAAAATACCTTGATTTGAATCTGAAGCTGGCCCAGGGACTTGGTTGCCTCTGACACCTGCTGGTTGGCACAGCTCAGCTGGAGTTCCATCTCGTTGAGGTCCCCCTTCCGTGTTCTTCTTCAGCGGGTAGCCTCAATTCTGCTCCTGGTTTCAGAATCCAGACTAGACTGCAGGGAGTCAATAACACACTGCTGGTTCCTCCTAATTTTAGAATAACATTTGGGGGGGGAAATCATGCACCCAAATTAAGAAAGGTTACCTGCTGTGTAAATAACAGTTTAGGAAACAGAACGGCATTAAAATTCAAGAAAAATTCTGGGTAATTAACAAAATGAGTCTAAAGGGTTTTCACTTTTAAAACACGGAAGTTGAAGGGCTCGGTGAGTGAGCATATGTCCATCATGACAGACAAGATTCCCAGGCCAACCTCCTGGAAGAGTGAAGAGGAGCACCAGAACCTTATTGAGGATCCAGTTGGACAGATGTAGCCTTGTCTTAGACCCCCTAAAGGGCAGTCTAGGGCAAATATCTGTATTTTCTAGAGTGGCTAAGGCTGAAGGAAGAATGCTTTTTCAGACAGTCATAATATTTAAACACTTCCAATGATGCAAAATGTCTGAACAAGGCAAGAAGGAGCCACAACAGTAGAAACAAGTCCTGAGCTCCAGCAATGCTACTCAAATGACGTGCAGACACTAAATTCTCCTAGAATAGCATGGCTATCTCTCTCCAGGAGTGTGAGAGCAGGACCAAGTGTGAGATAACCAACTGCTGTGTGATGCTGAATTATTTCAATATTCTTTCATAAACATAAGGCCCTATGCTGAAATCACACTTTCAAAATGACAGAAGCTTAGACAATAAATGTGCGCTCAGCTGGCAATGAAAAAGGCTTGGGGAAACCATGCCAATCCTTTCCAAGCCCCTTTGCAGTGAGCTTGGGACCATGTGGCTGAATTCTTGCTGAAGGACTATGGGCTATGTTTACAAGCCTTGCCAATACAAACTCTCCTCGTGATCCTGGACTCTCTGGTCCCCATCTATGGCAAACTTGGTGGCCAACTATGGAAGATCATGGCATTACAAGATGGGAAAACCTGGAAATAACTTAGAAGAATAGTGGCCTGCTCTCTATCCCTACTCCACATTGGACTGTGACCTAGGGCAAAACAAACAAACAAAAACAAACTTTGATAATTTAAGCCATCTAGCATTGGTGGGTGTGAGTCAGGACAGTTTAACTGCTATAACTAACACATGCCCTGTTAAGCTCACCCTATGGAACAAGGCCAAAGGCTGAACGGATAAGGCAGAAGAGAAAAGAACCTCTCTGTTCTTCCTCATAGAGACTGCCAGCACAACATACTTGCCTTGGGTCAGAATTAGGTTGTACACCGAGTCATCACTGAGCCTGTGTCCTGAGCTCTGAGGCCAATCAGGAAGATGTCCAGCCTGCAGGGGAGTAGGATTGTGGCCAGGGTTTCTGATTCGGTGACAGGTGGAAGCACCACTTTCCATCACCATCCCTTTCTCCATTAGTAAGGGGAGGTCTCAGAGTAGTTATGGAGATGTATAGGAAACAACTCTTTCTGGTTCCAGAGCCCAGAGCTAGCACCTCATCTCGGTCAACCCCATGTCCCTGGTTGCCACATGCTAAAATCAGCCTCTCATGCCTATCTTTAGGTCCTAGGCCTCTCTGTTCAGTTCCCAGATCAGAATCCTATAGGGATGCCAGTTTATCAAGTTAATAGAGGCTGTTATGGGCTAAATGTGTCTGCCCCACTTCCTATATTCAAATTCTTATGTTGAAGCCCTAACCCTCAGCACCTCAGGATGTCACTGTATTTGGAGACAGGACCTTTTGAAGAGCTGATTAAGGTCAAATGAGGCCATGAGGGTGGGCCCTAATCCAATCTGACTGGTATCCTTATAAAGAGAGAACATTTGGACACAGAGAGACACCAGGGATGCACACACACAGAAGGGACCCTATGAGGACACAGCAAGAGTGGCCATATGCAAGTCAAGGAGAGAGGCCTAAAGAGAAACCAAATTTGCTGATTCTTTGACCACTTTCAGGACTGTGAGAAAATAAAATTCTGTTGGTCAAGCCACACAGTCTATGTATTTTGTTATGGCAGCCAGAGCCCATAACTCCTACAAGGACACGCACACTCAACAGCAGTAAAAGCTTTAAGACCTTTCTCCGTCTTCCATTGGGGAAACTCATTTTTGCCTCTGCTGACTCTCCTTACACAGGAACACTAAAGCATCCCCAGTCTGGTGTCAAAATCCTCTATACAGAGATACATTCTGCTTAAGCAGAACAACTGAATGTTTCAAGCTGTCTTTTTCCTGCAGTTGCTTATGAAACTTCATGAGTGCCTCTAGACACATAAAAAGTGCCGTGGTTTAAGAGGCTTGGATATGATGCAGACCTAGAGAATGTCTGCTAGACAATCAGCACCATTCACACAGAGTCAAGATATCTTTAAAATGAAAACTCTCCCAAGTACATTTTTTAAGAAAAATTAAGCTCTCTGGGCCAGGGCATTATGGTAAGAAATTCATTTTTTCCCCCTGAAATGTAAAATACAATTTGAGGAAAGAAACCAAATGTAAAAAAAAAAAAAAAAAGAGTAAAATCTTAAAATTTTAAAAAGCTATAGACAGTCAATTCAATATGTCCTTTCTTTTCTCTTGCAATACTGCTCATCCATATCAGAGAAATGCAAGGTTTTCCTTACTTCCAATACATATGATTCAGTTTTCAAATGATTAACAAGGTGTTTTGCTAACTAAATGCCATGTCTGAGTTTGAGATTCTGGTTTCTGAAGATACACTAAAATATTTTAGTTAGAAATAAGAAGAGACTTAAACATATTTTTCTGGCAGAGACTTTAACAATAAAAGAAATTAAGTCAGGTGGTGCATACAACTTAAAACCACGTGGCAAAGTTTGATCTTGAGTTCAGAGGAGGGGACAGTATGGAAGGAAAAGATGATGGAACATTACTATATACCTGAGGGTAGAGGGCAGGGGTGGGTGCACTGTGGGTTATGGTCCAAATCTGGTCATGCCCATTTGATTTCCAGTGTCTATGGCTGCCTTCAAGCTATAACTGCAGAGTTGAGTAGCTGTGACAGAGCCCCTACATCCTGCAAGCCAAAAATATTTGCTACCTGACCTTATACAGAAAAAAGTTTGTCTAACCCTTCTACAAGTGATCCAACCAAAGCAAACAAGTGCATTTTGATTGAATAAGGAATTTCCGTGCCTTATTCCCAAAAGCTCTTTCCACAGCACCTCTCTGGGTTTGGCAGAGTAGAATGCAGGCCAGGTGCACCCTGGTCTAGGCCAGTGAGAAGACCCTCACACATTTCAGCATATCTTTGAATACCCTGAGTTGGGAGGAATATAATCGGTGACCCCTGAAGATTCAGGCCGTACCTGACCAACTTGTTTTTTAACCCAGTCTTGGGCCTCACAGTATGACTCTATTTCCATGGCACTTATGGCCACCAGTTGGCCTTTAAGCTGGCCGTTGACGTCAGCCCTCCTTTCCTGTGTCTAGGATGGAGAGAATCAAAGTCAGCCACTGAAGCTCCTCCCTTCCTTCCATCAATGACTACATTGTCACCTCCCTACCACTAGCTATGCTAATTATAACATTTGTAGAAATTAAAAAACAAAAGAAAACAGCAGCAGCAACAAAAATCCATAAAAGTTTAGGAAGTCTTGGCTAGAACAGCAGGCACAGTATCTCCCAACATTATGTGTTCAGGTATCTGTAGAACAAGCAAAACACACGACATGCATACTCCTGCTTTTCCCCAACAGGCCTCCAGGCCCGGCTCACTCAGGATCAGTGCTCTCAGAGAGAATGGAAGAGCGAGCTCAGCAACAGAGAATGAGGCGAGGGCGTTACCCAGTTTGGAGCACAGTCAAGGGCTTGCCTTCGCCTCTGAGACTCTCCCCTGCTTTTGTGGTCCCTTCGGCTTGCTGGATGCTGTCTCGCAGGCCTCCTTCAGTTCCTGTGGAGTTTCCTATGGTTTATGTGGACAAAGGACCCTGAACCTCACCTTACCCTCAGGCAACATTTCCCTTCCGTTCTATAATTTACCTGGTTTAGCCTCAATTGCTTGAAATCCTGTGCTTTGCTCAGATTCCCCCTCACATTCTATTCAGCATCCTTAACATGCCTCCTTCTCCTAGCCCTGAAGTCAGATTAAACCACGGCCTTCTGATACAATCTGAACTCACACAGAACACTCCATGCAAAAAAAAAAAAAAAAA